GTCATGGCTTTGACCTGAGTTGAAGTTGTTTCTCAGATGGTCCAATAATAGTCTCTCGTTATCTGTCATGGCTCTGATCTGAGTTGAAGCTGTTCCTCAGATGGTGCAATGATAGTCTCTCGTTGTTTGTTATGGCTCTGACCTGAGTTGAAGTTGTTCCTCAGATGGTCCAATGATAGTCTCTCGTTGTTTGTTATGGCTCTGACCTGAGTTGAAGTTGTTCCACATATGGTCCAATGATAGTCTCTCGTTATTTGTCATGGCTCTGATCTGAGGTTGTGACATACAGACTCAGAGCTACTGGAATTTCATCTGCCTATGAATATAAAAAGACCACATTTCAGTACCTAGTCATAACCAAGATATACAGTCGCTGACATACCCCATACCTGTCCCGTTTCTGTTACATTATCTACACAATATACACAGTGAGTCTATCGATACGGACTGAAACCGAGCAATCTCGTGCGCCTGTAATCGTGCGTCGTCTATGTCTTGTACGAAGATTTTGAAGGTGACAAATGTCACGCGTAGGCAAGGGTTACCTATACTTATACCCCGGCGCACTTATGCTCATACCAAGGCCTCTAAACTACCCACAGGATGTAGATGAGGATCGGACAGACATTGATGGGGACGGTGGACTGTCGTTCTTGCGAGAAGACGCGTATGTGCATCCGTCATTAAAGACTCCCGACACCATCGCGCCAGAAGAGGTTTGTTTTGCTCAGCAAGTTTGTGTGTGTACGTACACCACTATTGCATTTTGTACATATATGCAGTGCGTGCGTGAGATGGAGATTGGCAAGTTTCGACTATCTGTATGTTTGAAAAGACATTCATGCTGTCCCTTATCCGTATCATGCGTCTAAATAGGTTTTCTGTGCTCTATATATGAACTGTGGATATTTCTGAGGTTGTGAATACGCGTACACCTACGTTTTATGAGCGCGTTTTGTGTTCTGAAGTAACCTAGTCTTCATAAAAGATCCCGACATACTGTGCAATTGAGTCATCAGAAGTCTATTATAGAAAGCTGGCATTCGACGCGCGAACGTTCAAAATAATCGTATGTATGTTTGTG